GGAGCTTTATTCTTTAATATATTGTTGGCTCATAAAAGCTTGGTGACCAAAATATATAAAATCAAATCATATAATCTTGCAGAGCTCTAGACCCTTGGTTTATTAGCTAGCAATTTTACCATGCAGAAATAATTTAATGTTCCACTTAATTAGTTACAGTGACAATTATGTTGGAAGTAGAAGAATTATTTCTGTTTCTGGTGTAATATTCTTCTTCTTCTTCTTCTAGCCAGCTTTATTGCTGCTGAGCTGTGAGATCTTTTGCAGACTGTGCCAAGGAAAAAAAGTGTGCTGTTTTGCTGGTGTAATATAATAAGACATTCATTCAAAGCCAATTTAGTCTTAGTAATAAAGCCAGTGCCTTTAAAAAAATTGGTTGTTAGTTGGCTGAGCTTTATGCTTAAATTCTTGTGTTAAATATACAAGTTAGTTTTAATGAATAAAGGCCAATTATTAAATTCTAATGTTTGAGCTATGATATAATGGACCTCATTCACCAATTAAAAAAAACAAAACTAAACCATGTGCTTCCCTATCTCTTCTATACAACTTACGACCTAATTCAAATCAACAATGGTTATCATGTGACAGCTTTTTTCATTTTTTTAGCAATGGTCATCATGTGACCATTCGTTTAGGTGAATGAGGTCCATTAATTCTTAGAAGATGTTGCATCAACAAAGCTAAATAAGTGTTGCCAAGTTACCTTGAATGGTTAAACTGTGGGGTCAGAGTTCCTTTCATCATTTGAGTTTCTGTAAATTCTTTATCCCCCCAAAGCTTGTACTTGACTTTAATGCCCAGATTGTACCTTGACTTGTAGACCTCAGCAGCTTTGATGATAATCTAACAGTGAGAACATTGTTATGGGCTAATAAAATCAAGTTACTTGCATAGCAATATTGTTAATAATAATAGTTTAATTTATAGAGCGCTGTTAACAAACATGATGTAGACTAAAGGTGTTATGTTACCATTACAAACATAAACCTGAGAGCTAAAATGACAAACTAATCTAAAAAACGTTGTCTTGTGTGCAAAAAATACAATATAATTTAATATAACAATAATCAATTTAATAAGTGTCCAGTACTGTTCATTTCTAAATAAAGAACTATGAATGATACACTAATATTATGTATATAGGGATAGCACAAAGGTGCAGCCCATTATTTCAATTACACTTAATTCACTATTTTCTCATTAAAAATTTGGTCTCTAGTGATTTGCATATATCATTCATTGTTTCAGCACTTGGCTTCACATTTGAACTATGGCATTACTTTGAAGCAGAAATGTTTCCCTAGTAGCTCAGTGGGATCCTCTACGAAACTGTTTTCATCTAAGCTTTGACCATTCTGCGTACAAGGTATGATGGTGACTTTGAGTTTGCCTTCTTCGTGACCTTGGTGATCAGTGATTGGTAACTCATCATCAAATTCAAGGGCATAGGATAACGACTGGTGACAAAATATTGGAACGACTATTAGATAATCACGAAAAAGCATTTTAGCCTTAAGGCTGAAATCTGATAATGAAATATGAATTTTTTTGTTAGAATGCTTTAAAGTTATTTTTAAAATGTCACTTTTAAACTTGAAGGGAAGATATCTTTCTAGACCTGTAAAAATACATTAGCTGTTCCAATCAGTGCATCTTCAGTAGGTTCCCAAAATGGATCTTTTTCTTTGGGTATCAAGGCTATATTTTCTCCGTCTTGATATTTTTGATACATTTCCTGTAACAGCAAATGGTAGAGTATTATATTTTGTATGGGATAATTTTATAATAATGATAAAAATGTCATAAATAAAGCAATGTTGAAAAATATACTAAGCTCAAAGTGCATTAAAAAACTTTGAAAAACATGAAACAGAATGTTCCTACAATATTGTTAAGCTTATAACGAAACAAAACCAGGTTTGAATTCTGGTGGAAATAGAGGTTTTTAATTTAAAGATGTTCTGAATCCACCTACTTCTAAAATATACTGGAAATTTGTTAAGAAACTAAAGGTAGCCTGTCATTTTTGAAAAACATTTCAACCTCATTAAGCATTAGTCCCTGGTTCTGTGAGTGTAAGGGCACCTCAGTCCACCATACTCTAATTGATTCCTGACTTAAGTTGGGGAAAGTAAAGCGGTTGGTTGATGTGTTGACCTCACAACACCCTCATCTGCATAGAAACAGATGACCTTAACATCATCTGTCCTATACATTGTAAGGTCTGAAAGGGGAACTTTTTTTCTTACTTTACTTGTAACATTATGAACAATTTACACCACAGTTTTAAAGATTTAATAGAAAAATGAGAGGAAGTGGCGACCATCCCACCGAAGGGACACTAATTTCTAGGTAATTACCTGAATTAAAAACTTTCTGTTCATAAACTTCCCACTCTCCCAAAGCCAGGTGTTGCCATTCAGCATGTTTTTCATTTTGACCATTACCCTGAAATAAATTTAATCAATAATATACAATAATAGTTATCATTAAGAGTTGGCAAAAAGGTATATGTGATGTAAACATAAAAATCCTTTACAATCAATGAGTCCATTGTGGATTAAAAAAAACAAACATAAAAAAACAACAACTTTATATGCATTATGATACACTGTAAGTCTGGATAAGAAATGGTTGTTTCAAATCTGTGATTACATCAGATAATAAAATTAAGAAAAAAATATAAAATAATTGTACTAAAAATGCATTTTAAAAAATACAAAATATATGTGAATCAAATAAAAAAGTTCAAAGAGGCATAAATAAAATTGAAATAAGAAAAACAGACAATGTCTTTGAATAGTGGAAACAAATATAAAAATGGTAATTATATAAATATATTCTGTAAGATACTGAGCGATGTTCCTGCAAAAATAGTATGGAATAGTACCATATGGTGAACAAAATACTTTATGGTTCTTTACTGACTTTGCATAAAACAAATTTAAGTTTGAGAATTATGCAAGATATTTTAGAGTATAATTCAATAAAAAAAATAAAAAAAGCATTACTACAATTTTTAGTCGCCACATGGTTTATTTTGTTTATATGTGTCAGATAATTGAGCATCCCAAAAGATTGATATATTAAATCAAATGTCAACAAAAATCCATTTTAAAAGAACTATAAGGGAATAAAGGAAAGAAATATGGTTTTTAGAAATCCAGAAAAACAAAGTTAAAAAGAATAAAGAAAGACAACTCATCCAAGAAGGGGAAAAAAGTGAACTTTTGGTGTGACGGTGTCGAGATTATATGATAAGTCTAATTTGAAAATAGATGACACTAAACACTCAAATATACCTTAACTTATCATAGTCCTCAGTAGTTCTGAAAATATGTACAAAGGTGTATTTCATAAAACAAATAGTTTCTCACTTGAAATAAATAGAATTGTTAAAAAACAAAAGCTAATCAGACCAGATATACTTATAATAGCGAAAGTTGTTTATGCTGAAAAATTATAATAATTTTTAATATAATTAGTGATAACAAAAAAAGTTTAGAATTGTATTTTATGCTGCCATCTCCTACTGCTACATTGCTTGGCTGGATATTTTTAAATGTGTAATACTCTAATAATGTATATCGGAAGCATGACAAAGTAAAAACAGCTGCCATAAAATATGCATTGATTTCAAGTCATTACTTACTGTGGCCCTGCTTCTGTGTTACTACTGGCTAGCACAGCCACAGCTGATATAAGTACAACTTCAAAGGACCTGTATTTGTTCAGCTCTTCAGAGATGGCATTCACTTCTGAAACTATTGGCAGTATTTCTAGGATCTGTTCTTGTACAACTTGTTGCTCTGTTCAACACAGCGGAAAAATTGTTTTGTAAATAGGTTGAAAATGTTTGTCAAAATTTAACTTATTAATTTAATGTACACTAAATCACTTATAAGAAGTTTTAACTTCATAGAGGTGTTCTTAAAAGTCTACATTCTGTCAAATTAGGCTATTAATTAACCAATAAAATAACCCCACTACAAAAGGAAAAAGGATATTTTATCTTATCTTATCTTATATAATATAGACATTACTTCAAAAAAGAAGATGATTACGTCCTACGCATCATGCATTCAGTCATGCATATTAACCAATGACTTAAATTCTGCCAAGTCACTGGTTTTCCTGGCTAGCTAGGGCAACCCATTCCATGCTCTAATAGCACTAGGGAAGATGGAGTATTTGTACAAATTTGTCCTAGCATATGGGACGAGGAATGTTCCTTTATCTTTGTGTCTTTCAGAGTATTTTATTAAATTTTGTTTTTGTATTTGAAGATTATGGTTCCGTGTCTTATGTATAATTGCTACTTTACTTTTGAGTCTTTTGTCCTGAAGGCTTCTAAATTTAGTGATTTTACTAAAGGTGTTACTCTAGTCAAATGTGAATATTCGTTTGTTATGAATCTCACTGCTCTATTTTGTGTCTGTTCCAGTTTCTTAATGCTTTCTTGAGTTAAGGGGTCCCAAACAGAGGATGCATATTCTATTATTGGTCTAACCAAGGTTTTTTAGAATTTTCTACAGAGCAAAGACTAAAGAGGCTGAGTTCTCAATTTTGAAACATGATAATCTATAAAACACAAAAATCCTAAGTAGTCCTTAAACAGTTCTTAATATAAAAGGACATGTTTATGCTATAAAAAATTATGAAAGAATAGGATCTGTGTGTTAATATGAAACAAAAGGTCTTAAATTAATATGCTAGGCCTAGATGTACATTCCAAAGCAGAGGAAATAGAGGTCTCAATTTAAATTATATAGCTTGTTTATCTACAAGACTTTAACTGCTTAAATTATTCATCTTGGAAGTTAATTAAAATGGATTTATTATTTCAAGGTTATAGCCAATACTACATCTAATAAAATAATCAGACATTTGAGCAAATGATTTCACCTTTTGAAAGTCCACTTGTTCCTGTTGAATAACCTTTGGCTTTGGCTACTTCTTTCTGAGCAAACTCCCAGTTAATCTCTTGTGGAGTACCTTCAGGTGCCTTTGGATTTAGTGGGTTCACAAATACATACACATGGTTGGAGCCTGAAGCATAGAATTATTGAGATTTTAAAAATCTTTGTATTTATTAGTAAATGTGTTCCTATGGCAATTATAAAAAAATAAGTCAATTCCCTGAATTAATAATCCAATAATTCATACAAAGAAAGATCAATTATCAGAACAGAACTCAAAGTCACAGTTAGTTAGACTCCTTCAGTTGTAGAGCGACTATGGTTCATCTTGAACACTTTTTCATGTGGTTGTGGAGCCCTATTTTGAAGAGACATTCCTGTCCACAAATATTGCAGGTTAAGGTGGCTTTCGCTTTGGTGGTGGAGGAGCTGGCCATTTTTCGCATGGCTCGCTTTCTTCCAGAGCTGAGGCCTATGTTCTTTCGCTGTCCATAGCTTTCTTGGTCACTGTCTCTTTCTCTATCTAGTGTGGTCTAGGGCTATGTCTTCCCAATGGTCACAACTAATCAATCAAAAAGCCACTAATTAGTGCTAGTATTTATTATTATTATTATTATTATTTTGGTTAATGAATCTCCATTTACTTTACCATGCTCAGAGTGCTTAGTCCAATATCTTTGGTGGACATGTTGGGAGGGGGGGGGGGGGGGGAGGTAGCTTGGTAAAGGTTTCTGTGTTACTTTTAGTTACTCAGCAATACAATGCATCTCAATTAAAATCATAAAAAATTCTTATCTCCAGCATGATTCAGTTAGATAGCCAAGCAATTAATGCAATAAGCTGCATGATCCAAATGAAATAATTAGCCACAAGCACATACAGAATTTTGTAATACTATTTCTAACTGTGACAAGATAGCAAGATAGACATAACCTGACTGAATTTTGTAAACAAATAAAAAGACATTTAATTCTATAAGTACCAATAGAGAATAAAAAAAATATCATTTTCACTAACCAAAGATGATTCTGTCCATGTGTTCTAGAGTTCTAGGCCCTGTAATTAGACTGCCGTTAACTCTTGTCTTAGCTCCATCAGAACCTGGCTTCAATGTAATACTTCCCTTTTCTTGACTTATTATTGCATGTTTCTTTTGAATGCTTAAGTTGGAAAGAATTGTACAAAAATCTGTGTTTTTAAGATTGCTTAAAAAAAATCACAAAATTAGCTTTTTTTTAAAATCAGTAAATGTAGAAACAATTCAGGACAGGAGTCTAAAAAGTAAAGTAGCAATAATATATAAAACACTGAATTATAACTTACAAACATAAAAAAACATAAGCTCAATGACCACTAAACATGATGCTGAAAAGCAAAATATCAATTCTCATACTGTCCAGTGGGAAGTTGAAGAAAGAGCTCAGGCTTATCATCAAAATTCCATGATTTTAACATTCCCAATGGAGAAGTCACAATACAAACAGGATTTATATTTCACATAGAAAGCAAATAAACAATTAATGTTATTCAAAGGAAAACATAAAGTGCTATCTGTGTAGTAGATGGCCACAAGGAGCTAAAAAAATACATTTGCAACAGAAATGATTTGGACATGTTGTCCTTGGAGAAAAGTATTCCTCAGGTTTTGGTTGACAGAATTGGTAGAAGAAACCTCCATTAGAAATGCTATAATATCATATGAAAGAATTAACATCCATTTGACATGCAATATTTTGCTTCTGACTGGATGAATTAAAGATTCTGGTTACATTGGATGTGAATTGAAGATTCTACATTACATTGGGTGTGTACATTCTCACACAAGTCTCACAAGTAAGGCAAGTAAAAAAACTAATGAAGAAATAAATGAAAGCGCACCACATTACTTAGCATGTTCAAATAGTGTTAGATAATTAATAACCTTTGGCTTTTGGTGTTCATGAAAACTTGAGACCAATTGAAAAGAGAGTTTAGGACCATATCGAATAACCATACAAGTTTAAAACCAAGGATTTAGGTTTTGTAGGCCTACTAAACCACTTAATCAAATTGCCCCTCCCCCATTTACAATAAATGTATTACTGGTTGTAAACATGGGTTGAGACTGTGCACTAGCCTAACCTTAATCCATTCAAAACAATGTCAGGGTTGCCACTCTTGCAGCCTATAACTGTTGTAGCCCCATTCAGAAACAGACACACCACTCCTGACAACATTGGGTCCTCATTTAAGTTCATCAGGTGAGGTTCTTTGTTCTTCCTTGCAATCTCTCTGTTTTCTTCTTTAGCAATGGCATCTGTTTCATTTCTAGCTGCTGAGAGCTGTTGAAGAATGATAAATAACAATTAAGTTAGCTAGCAGGTTTGTTAGATATTAAAGTATTCGTTAAATGACACTTTGAATTACAGCAGTCAAAATGTGTTCACAGAAGGCTGTCATCACAATGGTCAGAGTCTGAACCCCGTGTGCTTCCATTCCCACGCTGTCCTGTAGGAGATTTGGGCTGTAATGTAATAATCTTTACTTCTGAAGGAATCACAGAAATTTATAAATCATGAGTGAATCATGAATAAGGAACAAGAATTGAATGAAATTGATTTAGACTAGGGAGATTGAGAGAATAATAGAAACAACTAATTGATGTAGGCTGTCCCTCCTTATGTTCAGTCATTAGGGAATAATAAAAACTACTAATTGATGTAGGCTGTGCATCTTTATGTTCAGTCATTAGGGAATAATAGAAACAACTAATTGATGTAGGCTGTCCATCCTTATGTTCAGTCATTAGGGAATAATAGAAACAACTAATTGATGTAGGCTGTCCATCCTTATGTTCAGTCATTAGGGAATAATAGAAACAACTAATTGATGTAGGCTGTCCATCCTTATGTTCAGTCATTGGGGAATAATAGAAACTACTAATTGATGTAGGCTGTCCATCTTTATGTTCAGTCATTAGGGAATAATAGAAAATACTAATTGAAGTAGGCTGTCCATCTTTATGTTCAGTCATTAGGAAATAATAGAAACAACTAATTGATGTAGGCTGTCCATCCTTATGTTCAGTTATTATATGTGTTTCACATTTTCTAGCACATTATTGGTTGTGTTTTCTCTTTAATTCTTTGTCTTCCACTGGAAGCAGAATGATGAACCATTTATAATAAAAAAAAAAAGTAAAAAAAAACTTTCATTATATGGCAGATGATATAAAGGTCATCTGTTTCTATAGCTGACAGTAAACAAGGGTGTCATATGACCAGAACAACTACCAACTGCCTTTACTTTTCCCAACTAATTTCAGGTGGACTCAGTGGTTAGTCTAAATATTTACTTCACATTGCTACAGTGTTAATAGATGCAAGATGGGGAACAAGAACCTATAAAGCTATAACTTTGAACACATCATCTTTTTCAATCAACCAGGTTTTGGCTGCTGAGGTGTAAGCTCTTTAGCAGTCTATGCCAAGGAAAAGTATGTAATGTGCTGTTGTTGTTTTTTTTCCGCTGTTCCACATTGCCATGCAGAATACTGGTTATGCTGTTTGTGAGATTAGGATCTGTCTAACGTGAATTAATTTTGGCATTCAAAGATTGACAGTTTTATAAGGGTGGACAAAGTGTCAACAGTGGGGTGGGTTGGTGCGTGGGATGTTAGGTGAAAATTTAAAGATGTGTACCCTGTTTTAGGAATATTGTAGACTGCTCTTTGCAGGGGAGGAAATTAATAATGTCCAGTTTGTTTGGCATGGTCATTTTTCTGTAAATTGATCTACCTGTGCTTCCTGAAGCTTAATTGGTTGAGCAACTTTTCTTTACGATTGCAAGCTAACATTGACTTGAGAGTGTTGCAATTAGCCGGTCTGTCCAGTTGTTCCATGGATCACCCTGCTTTTGATCACTTCAGCTTTTTCTATTCTCTTATGCCTGTGAGCTTGTGGTGTGACAATTCAACATTATAAGGTGGGTAATCTGGATTTAAAATGGACACATAAAATTACCAACAAAGCGATTCACCTTTTCATCCCACGTCCTCTCTGTCTCGTTCAATAAATGTTGATTGGCTAATAATTGAGCTCTTATCTTCTCTTCCATGTCTTTTTGTAACGATTCAATTTCTGTAGAAACAATATTCAAGTGTTAGATTAAATGTGTTTGTCAGTAGTTTACAACAAATAGGCTTTGTGTTTCTCAAACTTTTACTAGCGATGCCCCCCCCCCCCCCCCCCACTCCTTTAAAAAAAATACATTTACAGCTTCTTAATAAGCTAGGGGGGTCTATGCAAGAGAATGTATGAATGTAAACTCTACTCTGTCTATGACAAATTTGTTCTTTTTTTTTTATAAGAGATTGGTTTTAATATTTTGGTTTTGTTTTTACAATAAAAAAAATATAAGATGATTTCATACTCCTTACTCCATGTGCTAGGACAAAGTCATGCAAGTACTCCTTCTTCCCTAGTACCATTAGAGCATGGTTTGCCTGAATCAGCCAGGAAAACCAAAGACTTAAAAGAGTTTAAGTCTCTAATTAACAAGCACAACTAGATTAGCCCAAAGATACAAGTGGGCAGTAATTATCTTTTGTTTTGAAGAAAAGTCTGTAAATTTCTTTCACCTGTTTTGGATGTTCCTTCAGACATGAAGATTATTACATCCAAGCCCAAACCTACAGCAGGACAACGGGTAATGGCAATAGCCATTGTTCAAACCTGGTACCATCAAAAAGTGCCAACCATACAACCAGGCAAACAGATAAGATAAGATAAAATCAAGCAGGCTATACACTCAGACGCCATAAATCAAGACACGCTAAACATATTTGCCCCTTACCTTCAGGACTCATTGATCCTTTTTGTTCTATGTTCACAGATCCACCAGATTCCAAAGCTTTCTTCAGTCTATCATTCTCTTCCTGAAAAGAAAAGTATTAACTGCTGCAAGTTATATATATATATAGAACACATACACATATATAATATATTATAACCAAAAAAACAATTTATCTATATATTAATGAACATCAAATTAAAATAAATTTCAATAAACCTTCAGCTCTCTGATCATCTTGTCCATTGGGTTTTCATTGATTACAGTTTGGTTTTTTATTTTCTTGGCTCTATCTGCATATCTCAATGTTGACAAAGTTTCATCATAATTAATATCTGCTGGTGACAGAGCTGCTATCATCACAGTTTTGCTGTGAATTCAAATAAAATTGTAACCCTTTTAAGTAACTCTCTTAGTGGTGAAGTATATCGTAACTGTCAATATGTCATATAAATAATTTGCAAGCCTATTCTTTAAGTACAAACTAACGTAGAAAACTATTTTTAAATACAGCTTGCGTACTTGCCTATTGCCACCGAGAGCATTTTGTAATAATTTTGTTAGAATTGATTCTCTATATGGAACAACAACTTTTTTTTTCTCAGAGGCATCAGCAAGGGCCTTTAAAAATAGGAAAACAAATATTATCATATTAACATAAATAAAACAATTGCTATATTTGTACTGTTTTTTTTTTTGGGACCATTTCAATATAGATTTAAATAAATTCAGAATATCTTTTAAATATTACTAAATCTTCAGTGACTCTTGACTGGTGAATAAAAATAAAGATAACCAAGACAGCCTTACATTTTCCTAGATAGCTAAGTATATAAAAAATGAGCACTTTTTTAAATTCTTAAATCTGTCAGCATTTCTAAAAAAAAAAAAAAATACTTACAGAAATGACATTGCCAAGGGCAGATAAGGATCTATTGATATTAGCTCCTTCTTTCAGCCTGTCCCCTGTAGCCCCAGTGGAATCAGCTCTCTCTGATCCTGCCAAATCAACCAAATTCATGGTACTGCTCTTTTTTGTTTCTTCCCCATTTTCATTGATGAAGATTTGGTCAAAAACTATGGTAACAACAGTGTGGGCTCGACTGCTTGTAGCGTTCATGTTTGTAGAAGCCACAGTTCTGTTGGATGTTCCTGTTGCAAGGAAAATTTAATATCTGATTAAAATGACTTGTAGCAATGTTCCACTAATTATTTCTATCACATCAATATTATTTTTATTTTTAAAAAATTATTTTAAAAAATTAACATGTAAAATAATTTTAAGAAAAAAAAAGTACCTTGTTCCATTCTCATTTCTATTTCAGCATAGCTACCAACAGGTACTTTTTTCGAGTCCTGTACATAAAACATGCCCAGTTTAGGATTCTGTCGAACTTGAAGCCCTCCTTTAGGATTATCTTTAGCAAGTAAGTCACGAACTTGCTCATTGTAAATTTCTAGCATAGAAAAAGTTATCTCAAATCTCTGGTGGGAAAAAAAAAAGTTAAACTAAATACAGTAGACTCTTGATAGTCCAACACTAATAATCCGACACACTCAGTAACGATGCACAGACATACATTCAAGTAATTAATGTAAACACTAATACTTATATTTTTAGATTATAGGTTCGCTGAAAAGATGAAAGATAAGTAATTTATGGCAAATAGTGCTTTCATTTGTTATTAAGCAAAAATTATTTAAAATTTTCATCTGCATTTGGATCTAATAAACAGACATTAAAATTTTTTAAAAGTATATTGATTATCTTGAGCTACCATCTCTTGAAGAGCTTTTCCAAGAAAGATGCCTTTCCAAATCACTCACGATTCTTATAGACAACCTACACCCATTAAACCACTGTTACATAAGATCTGAACGAAGTGGTCGTCTCCTTTCCATTAGGACTAAAACTAAAAGATTTAAAAACTCCTTTGTCCCACTTTCGGTCAGAGTGTTACAAGATCAGCTGTCGTCATCGAGATGTACATAGAAGTCAAATTCATAAAGCGCTGGTTGTGAATGTGTATGTGTTTCGTGTGTGAATGTTGTTCGAATTTTTAATCAATATTGTTTTTGTACAGTAGTTTCACTGAGCTTGTCAATTGTAGTCAAACTGAATTTCCATTAGATTGGATCAATAAAAATTATCTTATCTTATCTTATGTTATACCTTATTTGTATCCTTGTTTTCTGAAATAGTTTTGAATAATTCATCGCAAGTAATTGGCACAATACCCCTGTAATGGAATATTCATCAAAATAACATTTAGAATCAAAATTTAGTTAATTACTTTTATGTTACAATGTTTCAAATATTCAAATTTTGTCAATTTTATAACTCTATTAGTCCATTATATATTTTTTTTACAATATTCTCTTTTAAGGTTTTAGTAAGTTTTATACTAATAATATACATAATAATATACAAAATAACATATAAGTATAAAGTATCAAAATCCTGATTGCTTGACTAACCATTAGTTACTGAGCTAGCTAAGTTTAATAATTAAAGTTAACAGAAAATGATTAGATCTAGATCTTTAGATTGGGGCTTCTTTCAGAAATGGCTCTTTACTTAAAAGATTAGCTGTAACATAACACTAGCTGAACTTACTTGTTCGGTCCATAGCCAACCATTGAATAAGATTTTCCAGATCCTGTCTGTCCATAAGCAAACAAAGAGCAGTTGTACCCTAAATGTTAGCAAATTAAATTACATTAATAGAATCTATGCTTTCCAATAATGAATTTTTTTTAGCTGAAAGTGAAAATGTAATTGATTCTGTATCTTAATCAAATTTAGATGTCAATGTTACATTCTCAAAAGGATAAAATGTGACACATCGCCCAGGTGGAAACAGTCAAGTAGGCCAAAAGGGAAGCTAAAAAGAACTCCTGTGTCTGAAGGTAAGTCCATTACAATGGAAGAGAGCCCCAAACGCAAAAGTCATGTCTAGCCATATCAAGCGTGATATTCGATTACAGTCGGCCTTGCCTCAAGGAGCCGTTTTAAGGCGAACACCCCCAAGCCTGAATACAAGGAAGAAATTTAAGAGTTTACCACCCAGTGCCCTGTGTGCTTCAAATGGCCTTCGGTTTCGCCTCTTAAGCAAGTGTCTACTCTTAAGAGTCTCAACAGTGAGTAGTGACTAACACTAGCCCAAGTTTCTTGGATTACAAAAGATGTTACAAATTAAATCTGCTTGGATCTCTCCCTGACAGAACAGTAGTTTAGGAAAGGAAGGGGGGAGGGCTACCATGGGCATAAAATTCCAAGAGTCTTCAGTGTATGACAATAACAATCATTTTACAAAAA